CACCTTAAGGACTTACCACCCTTGTAAAATTGTTATTATCTGACCGATTCCAAGAAACTTTTTTCTGTTGGATAGGTATTTGAAAAGTCCATCCAACAAGAGAGTGATTGTACTCATGAACTGTAATCGTGGCCAACTGCGACCAACTTTATTGACCCATATTTGAGAAAGTACTATTAGGGATTTTTTTTCACAAAAAACAATGATGGATTCTGAATCACGATCACTTGAAAAACACCTTTACTGATTTTTATCATCATAAAACACAGGGTGTCCAAAAAAAACGAATTATGTTTTTTTTTTTAATAGGTGATCAGAAAATGTAGTATTGTGGTATTTTTGAGAAGAATTGATGACACATTATTATTGAGGATCACTTTGAACATATCTGTACCGATTTTCATCATTCAAAAATATGATGTGTATGAGAAAACAATTGAAACGAAAAAGTAGGCAATATTTTTTCATCAACTCAAAAATATATTAATTTGATTTTCCGAACACCCTGTGTTTAATGATGATGAAAATCGGTACAGGTATGTTCCAAGTGATCCTGATTCATATTTTTATTTTGAGTGAAGAATTATCAGGATGGAAAATATTGCTTACCTATCCTTTTTAATTTTTTTTCTCAAACACATTGTATATTCAAATGACGAAAATTGGTACAGGTATATTTGAAATGATCCTCAATGATGATTTGTGATTATTTCTTTCGAGAAAAACCACAGAACTACATTTGCTGATCACCTATTTGAAGAAAATGATGATTCGTTTTTTCGGACACCCTGTGTTTTATGATGATGAAAATCGGTACAGGTATATTTCAAGTGGTACTGATTCAGAATCCTTCATCAAGTTTTGTGGAAAAAAATCCCTAGTACTTTCTGGAATATGGGTCATTGAAATTTGTCGCAGTTGGCCACGATAACAGTCCAAGAATCACTCTCTTTCTTCTTGCTTGGTTTGCACCATTAACGCACCGATCAATCATTCCGACAGAGAGTATCACGCCGGAATATTATTATGTATGAGCTTTGTGAGAAACGTGCTATTGTTGTTTGCGAGAGCCGAGATCGAATGTGTATTTTTCCCTCTCTGTCTATCGGCTTTCCCCAGGTTGAGCAAACCTGTAGTTTTTGCTCAGGTTTCTGTTCCTGAGCATCCAAAGATGGAGTTACAAGTTTTGTGCCTCTGAGAATTACGGATGAAATTATACAAAAAATAACGAACCCCAACAGCACACACGTCTAAGAGACGTCCCTATTAGGGACAATTCAAGTCCGAATGTCATGGACCAGAAATGACTGTTCTGAGGACGTCCCATCCCGTACATTTCATACAATGTCCGAGCAAGGACGTCCACGGAATGTCACAGCTGGTACATCATTTCAAATGTCCTAGAAATAGCATCCCTTAGGCGTCACACTTGGTACATATTGTAGAATGTCCATGCAAAGACGTCCTTGGCATGTTCCTGATGAGATATGATTCCAAACGTTCATTTAGGGACATCTCTCGGTTGTCACGAGTAGTCCATATTCTGACATTACTTCAGATCGTATATAATGTCCCTTCGAGACAACCATGGAATATCCCTGATAGTACATTCCTTCAAATATATCTCTGCAGACGCCCTTAATATTTCCAGAATCGTATAACAATCGGAATATCCCTTAGGGACATCCTTCGAATGCCCCTAAGGGATATTCGTCAAATGTTCCGATTGGTACATGAACTGTACTCATCCAATGTCCTAGAAATAATGTCCAACAGATGTCCTTGTCGGTACTCTCAATATGTTGCCTTGCGAGGACGTTAACTAACACCTCGCCGACAAATGATTGCTCGTAGGCTATAAATAATCTTCGTCAATGTCCTTCACGTAAATCCATTGGACATCCTTGAGAAATTTTTTCAGGATCTATTGGGGACCTTCTACGGACCATCAACTCAACTAAATGTCCTTATCAGTTAGGCAAGATTTGGTCCCAGAGGGACCCAGGAAAATTCAAATTCAAGAATGATTCGTAGGTCTCTGGGACATCCCATGGACATTCAATTAATATCCCTCAGCGTTGCTGCTAGGTTCTCCTACAGATGTCCTGAGGATGTCCTTTGTAGTGCTTGATGAGGAATACTGTAGGATTTAGGTATTTGATAGTTGTCCCATGGACATCACTTAAGGACGTCCCTAGTTGGTCCTCAAGTGGGACATTTGTGCGTCCCACAGACGTCCAATGAACGTCCACGGTACGGAATTCGAACGTCCTATGGACGTTCTATATGTCCCGACAGGACGTCCTGAGGATATCCATGGGACATAATTGTGTTATTAGAGAAGTCTCAATGACACACTGATAGTTGATCTATAAAGCATTTATATTTTGAAAAATGGACGAAACGAACCGCCCACCAAAATGGATTATTTTAAATTACTCACCCAAAATAAACAGAATATTTTCCAAACAACCTCAGTTTGTTGGAGTTGATGGATCTGTCCATTTGCTTCTTTGCATAAGCGCTTGTAGATATTCAGCGTGCCATCTCTTTCAAAAATCTTGGTGTAGACGATGAACGAGTTGCCATCGTGATAATCGTCCTTATTTGAGGGTACCTAGAAATTGAAGAAAAGTGGAGGATTCATGTGGATGGAAATTCCTTCTTTTTCAAGCAGTTTTCATGTATTGTGCAAGTTGACGTGAGGCTCCTACGTAGTTGGATCCGCAATCAGAATATGAGTCGTTGCATCGACCTCGACGAGAAATGAAGCGTCGCAACGCTGCTAGGAAAGTTTCGGTTGATGAATCTGATGTCAACTGTATGTGAAAAGCCTTGGTGGCCATGCAACAAAATACGCAAACCTATGCCTTCAGGACCTCGAAGTTTTGTCGTGGTGATTCTGAAAGGCCCACAAAAATGTATTCCAGCGTGAGAAAATGTCTTGACTTGCGAAACTCGAACTGCTGGAAGATTTTCCATTGAAGGTTGCGGAGCACTGGGATTCGATCGAAAACATTTGTAACATTTCGAGATCACCTTTCGAATATTTTTCTCTGGAGAGAGGATCCAATACCTTTGGTTAAGTGAGTTTTGCATTTTCTGAAGGCCAGGATATAAATCCGTATTATGAGTGAATTCGATATTCAAGTGAGTTAGTTTATGATTGGTTAGTAAGAGGATAGGGTGTCATTGCTCGAAGGGAATTGGCGAGTTGACTAATCGACCTCCTACTCTCAGGAGTCCAGTATCATCGAGAAATAGATTCAGCTCAAGGGTTTGTGAAGTTTCTTATTGGTTCTGAGACAATTTATTCCATGCGAGAAATGGCTTGCTTGACTCAATTTGATAAGCACAAGGAGAGAATTCTCCAAATCAGGAGTTGTCAAGGTACCAAGATGACGAGAAGTAGGAACATATTTCATGAAGTGTAAAACATTGAAGAATATACGTTGAATTTCAGGTAATGATGAAAATCGATCTTTGAGAGGAATAATGCGATTTTCAACAATCTCAGTAGCTAGTGTGACAGTTCGGCGCTCCTCGGTAGTGGTCGAGTTGTTAGAGGTACAGAGCATTGGAGGCCATTCATCATTTGAAAGACATAACCGCTCACCATAAACTATTGCTGGCAAATTCGTAAGGTAGAAGTCCTCTCGAGGCAGGATCAGCTGGGTTGTCCTCTGATTTGACAAGGCCCAATTTGAGACAAAGGTCGACCAATTATATGGAGAGATCTTGAATACATTGAGAATTCGCATCCTTCATGTGATGGAAATATTTATCATTTCTCGGTTCATTCAATAGAAAACAACTACTCTACTGGCTATATGCCACGACAAACATTGAATTACATCTATTGAATACACACGATAAGAATTTGAAAGCAAAATCGTCTGAAGTAGATAATTTGCATTTTCCTCCATGATATGAAGATATGGACCTTATATCATTCTGGATATTTAACAGAAAACAACAACTTTTCTGGCTATTTGCCTTGTCGAACATTGAATTATATCTGTTTAATATCCAAAATGATAGCATGAAGAATCAGAATCCTCTGAAATTCAGAATTGATATTATATTATTATCATTTTAAATACTTCCAACGTGAGTCTTTTGTAGGTAAAAAAAATACGAACATTTATATTATGGGAATTGGGTTCAACACTGTTTTGAATAAAACTTCATGAATCCTATAGATTTTATGATTGACTTCGGCTTGTGGCTTATATAGGTTTCAATAATCACTTTCACATAGCTAGAATAATGCCAGTAGGTTTCATCATTGCCTCAATCAAATCCTAATTGGCCTAGTGTAAATTTGGTTTCATGATGGCTTTATGACGTATCTTCATAGGATTAGATCAGAACCTCTTGGTCAAATTCTAGACACTAATAAAACTTAAGAGTTTTGAGAGGGTTGTTAAGAGTAAATAGTTTCGATAAAGAATTTCAATGACTTTCACAGAGCTTTCTTAAAACCGAAGTGAGCTGAATGCCAAATTGTTTCATGCGATAGTTCTATCATAGTTTCTCGAAGCCTTTCAATTGGATTATATGGACATGAAGGCCAATATGCTTTTTCCAGGTCATTCATGAAACGGTAGAACAAATCAGACCTATCATTCGCGCTCACATAAGCTCTTTAAAGTCTCATCGAAGCTATTAGACATTTGAAATGTTACTTGGGAGCTCAATACTAGTTGAGAGAAGTAGTGAGTCACCAGTTCTGAACAGAAAATTCTTCCACATCACAATTCGTTAGGCTAACGTGTATTATTATATTCAGAATATCAGATTTATGAATGAATTTCCTAATACATCATACCTTCATGAATCTACTGAAAACTCTGTTCATCATAAAAACAATCTGATTCTGCGATATGATCATTATGTGTATATGTGGGATGATTATTCGATTTTCTGAATATCAGATCCATGCAATTTTATCATAATGATAATGGAATATTTACCAGGATGCTTCTCTCTTGTTACAGCAAACATAGGTGTAATCAGCACCTATATGCACTACGGCTGGACTTCACCTTACATACCAGTTCTCCAAAGTGGTAACTATACTTTCGAAATAACAAGCGATGAAGCATCATGGTTGACTGTCGTGATACTAGCTGGAGCTATACTTGGAGCCATAGTATCAAGCTTTGCAGTTAAGTTTCTTGGCCAGAAATTCCTGATAGTGTTTTCATCAATACCTCTATTTATTTCCTGGATATCGATTGCCGTAGCTAGATCAATCGTCCTCTTGTTCATTGGAAGATTTTTGGCAGGCTTTGCCGATGGCCTTTTCTTCACGATAGTACCTATGTACCTCTCGGAAATAGCAGATCCTGACATAAGAGGAATACTGTCCTCACTATTTCCAGTCTTCTCAGTTGTTGGATTGCTTCTGATGAGCATACTTGGAGCCTATTTACCGATCGATACTGTTGGTTACATTGGAACACTGTTGCCCATCCTACTATTCTTAACATTTTCCTGGATGCCTGAAAGTCCTTACTACTTTGTGTCCAAAGGTGAAATAGAAGATGCCAGAAGAAGTCTGCAGAAGCTTCGCGCGAAAGATGATGTTAATGAAGAATTAGAGAGGATTTCTGAAGGGATGAGGCAACAGAACGACAACAAGAGTTCTGCATTCGACTTGGTATTGGTCAAGAGTAATAGAAGAGCGCTGATTATTACACTAGGTGAGTAAATTCGAAATCTAAAAAAATTAACATTGAATCATTGTGTCATCTGGGAATTCAAATTTGTCATATATTCCTCAGCCTTCCAGTAGTCGCGCCTTGAAAAGGTGGTTTGAACATGATGACTCGAATTTTTTCAGAGATTTCTCTCCGAAGTGAGATGTCAAAATTGTGATTGAAATATATTTATTCAAGACCAACACCCGAAACTACGATGAGACAACTATCGAGGATTTGATAACTAGAATTCGAACAAAAACACTATAATTTGGGGAAAAACTGGAAATGTTTCAATCTCAAATCACTAATGTCTCATCGGCAATCTCTGCAAATGAATAAAGCGGGTTCTAATAACCACATGCATCTTTCACATGTACCTACTACAATGAAATTGGGTGTGTCTATTGTTTTATCACAGTAGCATCAATCATGTGTGTTTACGAAACGAAATTTTATGGAATATCATTCATCAATGAGACAAAATTTTTGCCTAGAACGCCCATATATCGGGTAGAAAATCTTTCAATAACACCTCATGCCTACATATGGAAAATTGTTTTGTTAACCGCTTCCCTATCCGCCACGGGAGTAGGGTGAGGTTTTATGAAGAAGTCGTCATTATTTTCCATATCGACTACATTTTCATATGAATATGTACGCCCCGGATAATCTGCTATTCGAAATTAATTCCAATCTTTCTTCGGTTAGGTTGATGGCTATTTTACGCTGCCGCGAGGAGTCCACCCCTACAATAATTAGGTATAAGAGACTGAAAATAATCACGAATTTCTGAGTGAACTCTGTGCCGTCTATAGAAAATTTCATATAAGCTCGCAGGGACACCTAGCAGAATTTAGCCTAAAACGCCCCTACAACTGTTACCCCTATCCCTATGGGCGTCTGCAAGTTGGTCCCAGACTTTGGCATAGCCGATACGGTACTTTCCGTATCCACCTTTGCCGGGAATTCAATATTGAAAATTTTCAATAATATTATAGGTGAACGTTATTCACTGGGGATGTGATCAGAGTCACCCTCCTCGAGTAGTTCCTCAGAGGAATTTTCATTCACATTGAGAGCGCTAGACATAAGCGCACCCACATTTGGGCCTACATGTGGGGTGCTGTCTCGTTTCCTGGATTTTCCGGGTTTTCCTCATGGAAATCTAGAATGGAAATATTTTTCGTTTTCATATCTCCATGTGGATTGGGATTGTTATTATAATCATTATACATTTTGGAGTTTTTCCTATTGACCAGTTTCATTTGATTTGTATCATTCCTCATGAAAAATAATTGTTATTATAATCATTATACATTTTGGAGTTTTTCCTATTGACCAGTTTCATTTGATTTGTATCATTCCTTATGGAAACTACTTGTTTGTTGCTATCATTATTGAAATGATAGTCTGAAACTGCTCGATGTTCAAATTAGTTACATCTATGAAAGTCTCAAGATTAAAACACTCAAGCGGGTGGAAGTCATCGCAATCATCAAAGGTAGGCAACGAATCTCAAATCTCCAAATCTTTTTCCTGGCACATCCTATTTTTCAGTATGCCAGAAGAATTTTATACACAATCTGCTGGATTCTGATATGCTTTTTCATCAAAAGCTCCAAGATTCTGATTCCAATTGTTTCCGCTTGCTCCCTGACTAACAAAAGTAGGCAAAGTCCCAACATTACTATTTTTCCTGATGCCGTTGGCTCCCTGACTAGAGTGACTCTGATTTGGGTGATTTTGTGGAATGTTGACGCTATTGACATCATTGGCATTTCGAGAAGAAGTAGAAGTTGAGTTATCATTATTCATATGATTCAAATTCGCAAAATCTGATGGAATGTTTCGTTTTGGCAAACTAAACGTTTCAAAATGATTTGGATTCGCATTCATCAACCCTGTTTAATTACAGAATTGCATATTGCTACTGTTTGAAGGCGGCGCAGAGAACTGTGGAAAAAAATTTTGGTTTGCTTGTTTATTATTGCCTAGGGAGTTCAGATTGCTAAAGTTCTAGCAATCTTGATGGTTTTGTGAAAATAGATGAGGTCTATGTGGGTAGGACAATCAATTTCCACTATAATATACCGGTGGTCTGCCAAAAAATATATAAGGGGTTCCTCTTCCTACAGTTGAACCAAACCTTGCTGTATTTTGCCCTTGATTCAGATTGAGGCTATCAAAAGTTGCTGACAACGTAGGTATATCAGCTTCATGTACAACCGTTGGGAAATTTTGCATAAAAGCTGCCAAAGTGGCCCCCAGGTAAGAATAATCTTGATCAAAAACAGAGCCAAAAACATTTCCAGAACTCTGACTGGCCGGAACTGTAGTAGGTACAAATTTTCCACTACGAACTTGCTTTCATTTTGTGATATTTCCAGATCATTTTGTGAGCGTGGAGGTCCAGTTACCCTTTCTTGTCCTCTTGGAACATCTCCTCTCTTGCCACTCCTCGTCAGCCCTGCTAGACTGTGATCCAAACACATTATTGTTTTTTGTCCTCAAAACCAGGCTCCTGGTTGGTCGCCAAATGTGATGAATCTTCAATCTCAGGGGTTTCCATTTATGGTTTCGCCCTGGTGATTTTTGGGTAAAGAAAGACAGGCAATGGTTTAGAGGCTGTTTTATTGCTCAACTGGTACGGTATGATTACAACGACAATGGTCAAGCACTAAAAAGGAATGCAGATTATAGTACAGACCGCAGAATGTCGAGACATGAACAGGCATTAATTGAACACGACTAAAATGATGCAATATCTTGACAAAATAATGGTTGCACGTGTGAGATAATGATACATTGTAAAATGTCACATTGAAATAAAATATATAGTCACCTATCCACAAAGGAATGCAGGCAGACGTTTGAACATAAATTTGTGATATTTGGAACCATAAGGCTCCTAGCAAGTTCCTTTGATGTGGCTTTCCATTTGCCTCGCTTGTTCAGAAGTTCGGTGTAAGAGAAACCCAGACCGATAATTCATAAAAAAGTATAGTTTTTATATCTAGTGCTTAGTTTTTGTATATACCTGACCTAATTCAACTTCTCGCGGTCAAGGCCGATATAAGATACCGTGTGGGGTATACGACCCTCAATGCACTGCGGGTATTACTGGCTGCCTAAGCACCAGGTGATTATATCAACGGAAAGTTTAGGAACTCAGGTTTGCCAAACCGATAACTATATCACAATATCAAGTAGTGAAAATCAATAGGTTCTGTGCCACGGTTCCAAATTGGAGGTGTTGATTGGGCTTTGTAAAAAACATGCAACACCTGTTTTGGTACAGGTTGAAATATCATAATTTTCATTATTATTCTTGATGCTTGGATGGAGTTCTTGAATAGCTTAAGAGCTTAGAATTAACGATGTATCCATTGTTGACTGCAATCTGTTTAATGATATTGAGTTCTTAATTTGAATTTACTTCCGAAAGAGAGACATCCACTAGCCTGTGTATTATAATATTGAACGCTGCAATTTCATTTTAATGAGGGTGTGTCGAATTATCATGAATAGTGATATCAGTGTCATCATTAATTTTACTTTTCGTCGAATCTGAGGATTCGATTGATTCTTCTGTTTTTATTCTCATAGTGAATTTTATGTTTGGATGGATTGTATCAATATATTGGTGAAAACAGTCTTATGGTGTATTGGTTCCTCCAAAGCATACTATACTGTCATCTACGAATTCATACCAAATACGAACATTGTTTTATTGATGACTCTCTATGTATTATTCTCTTCGAGTCATCCATGAAAATTTTAACAAGTTAAGGGCTCAGTGGATTTCCCATAGTCAATCCTTTCGACGCGGAATATATTTTGTTGTCAAATTGAACGTGATTTCGTTCGAGACATATCGACAGGAGGTCTGAAATTTCTTGTTTGGTAATAAGATTAACATGGTTTTTATTCAATAACTCCTTAACTAGAAGAATAGGTTCTGTACATCAAATGAAATGAATTTCATGTTGTCGAGTAGGGTGTAATTTAGAATTTCAGTTAACAAATCATAAGAATCACTCGAGCTGAATTTTGGTTCATAATCACAATAGTTTTTTATTGACGGTTTCAATTTTCCTGATATTTCAACTGGAGGAGCTGTGACGAATGAAACTACAGGGAGAATAGCATAATTTTGTTCGTGTTATTCAATGAAAGAATCAAGTTTTGGAGGTTGGTAATTTATGATAGTTAATCTGAGATTTTTGCTTCTCATAACAATCGATTTGGAATTTTTCAAAATTTTTTCATCTGTAATTGATAAGAATTAGTAGGATCACGTTTCGAAAGCTTAATTTCTCTAAATTCAAGAAATCAAGGGTTTTAAGAAGATAATCATTCTTGTCAACAGCAATGAATGTGTTCCCTTTATCTGCTCTAGTACTAATTCTCACCAATTACAGATAAAAAATTCAGATCAACTATCATGAATCCTCAACCTCCTAAACTTTATGCTCTCATCAAATTACACAAACAAAAGTATCCTATTCGCCTGATAGTTCCATTCTTCACGTTAATGAAAAACTATTGTAATTTTCAATCGAAATTCAGCTTCACTCCTATGATTTGATAACTAAAATTCAAAATTTCACTCTCTACCTGACAAAACAAAATTCATTTGATCTGATGTATAAAACCTTTTTCCGATTTTACTTACTGATGATACTAAAAATCCAGTAGTTGAGGAGTTATTAGATTTGAAAAAAAAAACATGTTAATGCGATTACCAAACGAGAGATTTAAGACCTTCTGTCGATATGTTTCATACAAAATTACATACAATTCGAAATTGAAATAGAAAATGTTGATTATGGAAAATCCACTGAGCTCTTTACTTGCTGAAATCTTCATAGATAAATTGGAGCGAATAATACATGAACATTCATTGATGAAACAATGTTTTTATTGGTATATATACGTAGATGACGGCATAGTTTGCCAATAGACAATAAGACAGTTTTCACCAATATATTAATGAACGG